TAACACTGGAGTGTGTCCGCTCCTTCAAGTGATAAATCATCACAAAGTGTGATGTTTTAACACTTTTCACTTGCAGTGTTAGTTTTGATCTAATAATTGTTGGTATAACTAACTTTGGCTGATCTGTTCTCACGTCTGTTTCTTGGTCTCACAATGGCGCACTTTTTTATTTCATTCTGATTTACTGTTATAGACACCTACTTCACAAATGTGCCAGATTGTATATTTATTTTTTGTGAAAAAAAGAATCTAAAAATCTTCCTTCGACACAAAACGTGTCATTTGACACCGACAGGTTTTGCTGTGGCCCTGTGGCAGACTGGTGACCTGCCCAGAGTTTCCCCCTCCACCCCCGATGAACGACAGATACATCACTTCACTGTGACCTCAAACGAGATCAATCAAATGTAAAGAAACGGAATGTGTGAACAGACTTTTAGCAGTTTTCATCTAGATGACCTAAATACTCGAAACATGCTAAATTTGTTTTGAACAATAATAAATACAAATTTAGGTCACAGACATTTTTTTATTCTTTTCAAGACTTGTGTCTTGAATGTTTGAATATGCAATGGCACAGTGGATCAGCTGGTAGACCTGTCGCCTCTCAGCAAGAAGGTCGCTGGATCAAATCCCTGCAGGGGGTCTTTCTGGGTGGAGTTCTCATGTTCTCTCTGTGCTGCGTGGAGTTTCCTCCCACAGACCAAAAACCTGCACGTTAGACTGACTGGTAACTCTAACTTGTTCCCAGGTGAGAGACAGAGTGAATCCTGTCTTGTTTGTCTCTGTGTGTCCCTGTGATGGACTGGAGACCTGTCCAGGGTGTCCTCCACCTCTCGCACAGTGACTGCTGGACATGGGCACCAGTGTGTTCCTAGTTTTCTTTGCCATGATCATTTCCCCCACAGCTGACGTTCATTCCAATCCTCCACCCAGTCACACCTGCACCTGATTCTGATCACTTCTCATTCAACACCTGCCAGATGTTCTTGATGGAACATTGTGAGAACTTTGGGAATCCAAGTGACAGCCGAAACTGACTCTACGTGGAACTGTGACAAACCTTTTGATATTCTCCTGTGTTTTCAAGTCCTGCTCCTCCGTGTCTCCTCCATGTCTCCTCCGTGTCTCCTCCGTGTCTCCTCAGTGTCTCCTCCATGTCTCCTCCGTGTCTCCTTCATGTCTCCTCGACTACCTCCTCGCTCCTTATGGTCTTGCCCAGACATCATCCTGTTCCTGCAAACATCAAAGCTCAGCCTGCACCAACACAGGACACCACAAACCAGTTACCCTGTCCAGCATCACTCAGATTTCCAGATCCCACCTTCATCTTCTTTGGACTAAGACCTTGTACCCCCCCACCCCCCCTCTCCAACGCAACCTGCAAACCATCAACAGTAAGAAAATGATCAACAAACAATTCATTCAACCTTTATTTTTACAGGTTAATCCCATTGAGCCCCGAGGACTCATTTACAACAGAGACCTGAATTCTCAACTGTCACGTTCTCTGAGATAATCACTCACCTTCTCTCCTTCATCTCCTACAGCAAGAAATCCATCTTCAATCATCTTCATCATTACGTTTTTACTTTGAGTCCATGTCTCATCATTCTGCTAATCTGGGGTCATTAGATCAAACATCATGTTACAGAGACCTGGAAGGGCAGAAGCAGGTAAAGACGCTGGATGGATGTTAGAATATCACACCGCACACAGTTTTAAAATGTGACGATTGAGAAAAGCAACATTTAGATCAAACAAGTTATGTCAGAGGACACACACCAGCTGATACTGAAGAAATACATATCTGTTTTGATGTGTACTGCAGAGACAGCTAAAGGAAGTAACCATAAAAAGTATTCCTTCTGCTGCTAATGGATCACTTGTCAGATCCCTACAGCTTCTGTTTGTTCATCAGAAGCTGAGGATCTGGTTGAAGTGGCCACAGGTGAATCACTCAGAGTTAAAGATGAGGTTCGTGCAGCCCTCAGACTCCATGGGCCTCACACCGTTTCATTTAAAAGGGTGAAATATTTTCATAAACGTGTTCAATTCAATCTCAGTCTTGTGGTTTACTTGTATGAATTGACAGAGCCGGCGGGGGTCATGATTTGAGTATGAGTTTCTCTCATTCCACCCCTAAAAACTCATTTGGACTCCTGAGAGTTGTCTCAGTTAAATTATCTCGCAGGCTGCAGATCCACTGTGGAGCGTGCTGCAAGACAATCAACCCAAATTGCTTTTCAGTCTGGCAGCAGCAGAGTGAATCCATGCATGGCAGAACCTCCAGACAAGGTCAAACAGATGAACGTACAGTACGTGGGGCTGAGGAGCGAGAGCGGTTGAGTGTGCAGTTTGCATTGCCAGGAGGAAGATCAGCAGCAGAGAGCAAAGGCCAACATGCTCCGGACATGGATGCAGTGACGCAGTGCTCCGAGCGAAACCCCCACAAGCATCAAGGAAACAAGAACAAGCATCATAAAGTGCCTGGAATGTGGAAGGAATCAGATTTCTCCAACTTTAGTTCCTTTGGTTCACTGATCGCTGACATTTTTAATTCAATTCAACCTTTATTTATATGGATAAGTCACACGGAGCCTCGAAGACTCTTCTAGTCAGAGTCAGAGATCCTTTATTGTCATTCGCACCTCGTGTGGTACATGTGGTGGAGCGAAATTATGTACACAGGGTCCCAGTTACAACCAACAATAAAATGTGAAAGAAAAACAACGATAACATCTAAGGTATTATAAGACAATTTTACATGTGAGACCTGTTTGGACAAGCAATAATTAAAGCTTTTAAAGACATCTGAAGCTGCCAACAAACAAGCCCCTTCTTACAATAAAGATTTCTTTGTTTCATGTGTTCCTGGAACACTTTGCTCTCAGACTGCAGGTTTACTTGTGGTTCCTAGTGTTTCCAAATGTAGAATGAGATGATGAGCATTCAATTCAGTTCAGTTTATTTCTACAGCTCCAAGTCACAACAGAAGTCATCTCAGGGCTGAACAGAAACAGTCACATACATAAAAAGTCAATTAGTAAAAGTTCTCTGTCTAAGGAAGCAGCAGGTTGTGTTGAATCTTCACTTCGTCACAGTCTCCCATCCTGAGCAAGAACAGAGGAGACAGTGGAAAGAAAAAACTTACTTTCAACAGAAAGAAACTTCCAGAAGAACAAGGTTCAGGACAAGAGGCCATTTGCTCCGACCAGATGGGTTTGAGAGGATAGGAAGGAGAAATGGACAAAGAATAGCAGGTAGGGATGTACTTTCTATAGTTCAGGTGAACTTTCTATAGTCCAGGTGTACTTTCTATAGTCCAGGTGTACTTTCTATAGTCCAGGTGTACTTTAAATAGTTCAGGTGTACTTTCTATAGTCCATCTGTACTTTAAATAGTTCAGGTGTACTTTCT